CGCAGTTTAAAATCAACATTCACCATTCTTAACTTCTCCCCACTCTTACACTGGCCCTATTATCCTTAACTATTGCAGCACATACATAATGCATTGTTATGCCCTGAACTGAGACCTCTGCAAAACCAAGAGTTAAGGATTACTGTGAGTTTTAAGATGTCTTAAAAGTTTGTTATTTTCTCTTAAATTTTGTTTACGGGATGTCATAAACATACAACTAAGGGTAGCATAAAATCCCTCCTGTACCTGTAAGGGGTTAAGAAGCTCAAATAACCTGGTTGGCACCTGACCAAAAGGACCAATAAGGAAAGAAGATACTTTCAAATCTGGGGGGGGGTGGTGTTTGTGCTTTCTTTGTTGTGCTCTCTCGGGACAGAGAGAGGGACCAGGCAGGAAAAAAACCTCTCCTAAAACCCTATCTGAAATAAGCATCTAAGATTACAAAAATTGTAACTAAAGCAAGGAAATGTGTTAGATTATCTTTTGTTTTAGCTTGTGAATTTTCCCTATGCTAAGGAGGGAGGTTTATTCCTGCTTTTTGTAACTTTGAAGTTGAGCCTAGAGGGAAATCCTCTGTGTTTTAAATCTTATTACCCTTTAAAATTACCTTCCATCCTGATTTTACAGTGGTGCTTCTTTTACTTTTTTCTTTATAATAAAGTTCTTCTTTTAAGAACCTGATTGGTTCTTAGTGTCCTAAAAACCCAAGGGTCTGGTCTGTGCTCATTTGGTTAACTTATTGGTTGGTATATTATTCTCAAGCCTCCCCAGGAAAGGGTGTGAAGGGATTTGGGGGGATATGTTGGGATAATAGGAACTCCAAGTGGTCCTTTTCCTGAATCTTTGTCTAAATCACTTGGTGGTGGCAGCAATGCCATCCAAGGACAAGGAAAGGATTTGTGCCTTGGGGAAGTTTTTAACTGAAGCTGGTAGAAATAAGCGTAGGGGGTCTTTCATGTGGCTCCCCACATCTGTACCCCAGAGTTCAGAGTGGAGAGGGAACCTTGACAGGGGAAAATCCACATAAAGAATTGATATAATAGTATGTTACATGCTGAACCATTACACTGCATTATGTAAACACATGATTACTCATTTTTAAAAGTGTATCTTATGTAAATGTTTAAGAACTTTAAATATTCAGGTTGTTAACATGACAGGCTGCAAAAGTTCCAACATCTATAACAATTTAATTCATAATTAAAACTAGTGCAATAACTATTTTTATATATCTCACTTGTATTTTGAAAGAGTGAGTTTATGGAAATATGTATTATTTCAGCTCCATTGCATAACAGTGCTGCTATGGTAAAAGGCTCTGTAACAGTTCTATTTTCTATTATATCTCAGCCAATAAGATCTTATCTTTTAGGCATAGATATTTGCTCCAGGGTTGTATTTTTAGATTAAAGAATCTTAGCCCAAATGATACTAAAAAAAAAAAAAAAAAAGGCTTTTATCTGTTTTTAGAGTTTTGTAAATGCAAAAAGAAATGATAATGAATTCATATATGTACTCTTATATAAAAAGCAAGTTTATTTTTTAAAAAAATATGGAGCCCAATTCTTATTTACACTAAGTCCTTTTTCACAACTCAATCAGCATAAAGGGGCCTTGACCTGGAGTAAATGATGTTTATGCCCACTATAAGAGCCAACTTTACGCAGTCAGAGCAGTGTAAAAGGGCCCATAATGTAAGTTAGACTCAGTCCCTAAATGTTTTCATGTCATTTGACCATTATGTAGACTCATACATAGGAGTAATTACTTTTAAAAACATTATCTTAGTATCAATTTCTGCCCTTGGATACTGATATGCTCCTCCCTTTAAGTTAAATAGGTGCAAGAAGAGTACATCCACGGTCAGACTTTGACCCTTAATAATAGACCTTTATACACCTATAGGTATAGTTTGCTAAATCCTGTCCCTTAGAGAGAAGATGTAAATTGATAAATTATCAATGCCTCAGGTACTTGAGTGACTGTTGGTCTGTCCAGTATGAGCACTGAGGTTCCAAATGGAGCAGATCACAGGTAGCTCCCAGAACTGAGAAGGCCCTCAATTGTGGAACTTATTCCCTGAGCCTCCTCCTTAGTCTCTCCTTAGTGGTCGGCTTCAGGAATTAGTACAACACTTTTCTATTTGGGTCAGCTCATCATTGACTATCTTTTTCAATAACTCTTTACTTGGTTTATTTTTACTTAAAAAAAAAAAATCAGAGTAGCTATTACCTGGCCCAGTTTGTGCCAGTTTTATTAATTAATAGTTTAATGACAGATGTTAGAGGACTCAATCCTGCAAGATGCTGAGCATGCTGGCCCTGATCCATTAAAGCACTTAAGCATGTGCTTATCTTTAAGCTTTAAGCATATCTTTAAGCACATGTACAGTCAGTGGGACTACTTGTTCTTAAAGTTAAGCACAGTTTTAAGTACTTTCCTGGATCAGTGCCAGACTGCTCAACAGGGCCGGCTCTGGCTTTTTTGCCGCCCCAGGCAAAAAAGCCTCCCGCCGCCCCCCGCCCCCTGGCGGGGAGCGCGGCAGGGGAGGGCGCCGAGCCCGGCCACGGCCTCGCTCTCCCCGACCAGCCGGAGCGCCGGGAGGGGGGCGGAGAGCCTGGCCGCGGCCCCGCTCTCCCCGGCCGGCCGGAGCGCCGGGGGAGGGCGGCGAGCCCGCTGTGGCTCCGCTCTCCCCGGGTGAGTGCTGCCCCCCTCCAGGTGCCGTCCCAAGCACATGCTTGGTAGGCTGGTGCCTGGGGCCGGCCCTGCTGCTCAACACCTTAAAAATGTTTTGAATTTTCACATTGTATGTATTTGATTGGGTTTTGATTTGACTGGAATGGAAATAGGGGCTCGATAGGGTAGGAGGTGAAAAGGTGTACTTAGTTTTGGTGGATTGTTGTTTATTCTGCTTTAAATAATAGTGTGTGTGGTGTTTCTTTTTCTTTGCATGTGCACATGGCTAATTTTACAATATAATACAGTGCATTCTCCTATTTAATTCATTAGTTATTAGTACTATTTAACCAATAAGTTTTCCAAGACATTTGCAGTTGTTTGTTGTTGTTGTTTTTTGTAGTAGTAGTAGTATTTATTTATTTATTTAATGAGTTAGATTTTTTTCCTATTGATTTTCTGTGAATAAATGTTGCACCAGTGAGCTGCCACAGATGAATAGAGCCCTGCATGGAAATTTATATCCGCGGATGCAGGTATCTGCAGATATAAATCAGTATCTGCGGAACCATAGGGGTCTTCCAGGAACCGCAGTGGCAAAAGGAACAGAACCTGGGGCCGCCACTCCAAGGAGCCAGCGCCCTGGCCGGCAGCTCCTCCGGCGTGGCTGTACTGCCCGCAGCCCTGCCCCCGTCCCTTCCACGCAGCTGTCTGCGTCTCCTGTTTGGGAGTGGTACAGCCATGCCAGAGGAGCTGCCAGCACGAGGCACTGGCTCCTGGGAGCGGTGGCCTTACGTTCTGTTCCTTTTGCTGCTGTGGTTCCCTGGAGAGCTCTGCGGTTCTGCAGATACCAATTTATATCCATGGATATCCGCATCCACAGATATAAATTTGTATCCACACAGGGCTCTACAGATGAAGTTTAAAACTGATCTGTCTGTGTATATTTTTATTCTCCTTTTGAGGATAACATAACACACGTTTAAGTGTCTATTGTTAAAAAAAAAAAAAAGTATGTGTGCCCACAAGATGTATAACGCAGCCCCCACAATTTTCTGTCTAGCCCACCTCAGCCCTCCCACCAGGAAGAAGCTGGAGCCGCCCCTGCAACGTGGTAGGTAATATCTTTTATTGGACCAACTTCTGTTGGTGAAGGAGACAAGCTTTTGAACTACACAGAGCTCTTCTTCAGGTCTTTGTATCTCAAAAGCTTGTCTCTTTCACTAACAGAAGTTGGTCCAATAAAAGATATTACCTCACCCATCTTGTCTCTCTAATAGAAAACTATAGACAGAATGCTATGTATATACATACATGTACGCTTATATAATATTATACATCTAACAGTCTATTTAAGATTTAAGTTTACTCTGTTCACTTTGTAGGGGAAAATAATTTAACAATACATGACACATTGGGCCTGATTGTCACTGACATTTGTTACTGACATGGCTTTGTATAATTACTGTGGTAAAGTAATAGTGCCAGAACTCAACCACTGTAACTGGAATTGGTGTCCACACTCTGCCCTTGCAGCATAGAGAATGACACCCACCTTATGGTCCTTTTACATAGCCAGAGCAGTGTAAAGGGTCTCTAGTGTAAATGGGAATCAATATAATTGTTTCTAGAACTATGGGAGTTGGATGCATTACTTAGTAATTCTCAGGTGATTGAAGAGATTTTCACAATTCACAACAGAAATCAGACCCTATTCTTCTGCCTCAAGATATGAGTAACTCTCATTGGTATCAAAAGGAGTTACTCATATCCTACAAAAACAACGAGGAGTCCTTGTTGCACCTTAGAGACTAACAAATTTATTTGGGCATAAGCTTTCGTGGGCTAGAACCCACTTCATCAGATGCATGGAGTGAAAAATACAGTAAGCAGAATATATATTCTAGTACATGAAAAGATGGGAGTTGCCTTACCAAGTGGGGGGTCAGTGCTAACAAGCCAATTCAATTAAGGTGGAAGTGGCCTATTCTCAACAGTTGACAAGAAGGGGTGAATACCAAGGGAGGGGAAATTACTTTTGTAGTGCTAACGAGGCTTATGCAATCAAGGTGGCCCATTTCCAACAATTGGAAGATTGGATTCCTGGAGGTGTGCCATCCCAGCATTTTTACCACCAATGGGCAATGAATAATTTAATGTGAAATAGGACTATGAAACATAGAAAGGTTCCACATAGAAGCCCAGAAAAGAGTTCTTAAATAATTATGAGAGCAATTCTTTCTTCTGTGTGCACATGTGGATGGTGTCTCCTTTAGCCTTAGTGAAGGTTAAACATCCACATCAAGAAGTGAAAGAACCCCTACCTGTTCACTCCAATGATTTCTCTTTTTCGGTCAATCTCTTCCATTCTTTGAGGAATTCATTTTATTACTGTTGTAGTCCACTGGAACCAGTGGTATAACCTTCCCTTCTCCCTCCTCCTGAAAGTTGGGACATTCTACTTCAATTAATGGATTTCAAAAGGAAACAAGCAGTAAAAGAAAAAGAGCAAAGGATTTCTTGTTCTACCAGGATTTCTTTTTTTCTGACAAGATTTTGGTCAGTTTCACACGGCTCTGTCTTTGTGTATAGAGGGGAAATGAGACTCCAGACAGTAAAAACACAAGCAGGACTCAAATGGCCAACTGAAACTTTTTTTTTTCCTGTGTCTTACATCAGTGAGTTCATTCAATCCCAACAAATTAAATTGAGCTAAAAAAAATGTAGGCTGGACAGCTGGCAACATTTCCTAATTCTGTGGGTTAGTAAATTGTGAAATAGTGTCACAAAGGAAGTGGTGGATGCCGCATTGCTAAAGTGCTTTAAAATTAGATTGAGCACTTGTGTATACTGGGTTATAAGAGTTCTCTATATTTGCACATATGTAAATAGTTGATAAATGTGGTGCCAGTAGATGGTAGTCAAGAATGCATGGCATAGTTCCTTGGTTTTGCAGGATCAATAAACTTTTTGTTGTGTGTAATTCTGTTTTGTTGTTCTATTTTTTCATGGGTGGATGGTGTTGTCTTCCTTTGGTTCCTGCTGAGCATAGCAGGCCAGGGGCAGCTCTATGTTTTTTGCCGCCCCAAGCACGGCAGTCAGGCGGCCTTCGGCAGCGTGCCTGCGGGCGGTCCGCGGTCACGCGGATTCGGCAGCGTTTCTGTGGGTGATCTGCAGGTCCTGCGGCTTCGGTGTACCCGCCGCTGAATTGCTGCCGAAACCGCGGGACCAGCGGACCTCCCGCAGGCACGCCGCTGAAGGACGCCTGACTGCCTCAGTCACTTGCTGCGCTGGTGCCTGGAGCCGCCCCTGGAGCAGGCTAAGGGCTTGGCTTCACTAAGGGCTAAATTGGCGCTGCTGAGATTGATGTAGCAGCCATCGATTTAGCGGGTCTGGTGAAGACACGATAAGTCAATAGGAGAGCACTCTCCCTTCGACTTTGGTACTCCAGCTCCCCAAGAGGTGGAAGCTATGTTGATGGGAGAGTGTCTCCTGTTGACATAGCGTGGTGTAGCCACTGCTGTAAATCGATCTAAGATATGCCGAATTAAGTTACTTATTTTACGTAACTTAGATCGACTTCCCTCATTAGTGTAGACCAGGCCTAAGGGAGCAGACTGTTGTGATGGTTTAAACACACTAACAAAGCACTGAGGGAAAGAATGGAAAAATGGAGAGGATTGATTAGATTGGCAGAAGCCAAAGAGGCTCATAAACTGGTTTCCAGCCCTTTCTCAAACTGTTCAAGTGAGAGCTGTGTAAAACCAGAGGCTTCCAGAAAAAAAAAAACACTGTTTGGTCAGGAATAGTGATTGGACAGGTGTTACCTGAATTTATAGAAGATGATTCAATCTATGTATAAATGAATTTTAAATAAAATATATTATTTTTTTCAAATACAATACAATTTTTTCCCTTTACTGCACTAAAGTGGATCTAAAAACAACAGTTCTTATGCTACAGCTGTAGTGTAACAATCCCACTTTTCCTTCAGCCAAGCCACTGCTAAAAATGAGTCCAGCTTCACTATTAATTTGACTCAGCTCTCTTGGTGCAAAAATTGAGCTGATCATGGAGATAAAGGAGATGACTGAGCTTTTCATAGAATCATAGAAACGTAGAGCTGGAAGCAACCTCAAGAGGTCAGCAAGTCCAACCTCCTGTGCTGAGGCAGGCCCCCAAAAACCTAGGTTGTTCCTGACAGGTGTTTGTCCAACCTGCTCTTAAAAATCTCCAGTGATGGGGATTCCACAATCTCCCTTGGAAGCCTATTCCAGAGCTTAGCTATCCTTATAGTTTTTCCTAATATTTATCCTAAGTCACCCATTACTTCTTATCTTACCTTCAGTGGATATAGAAAATAATTTTTCACAGTCCTCTTTATAATAGCCTTTATTATATATTGGGAGACTGTTATCAGGTCCCCCCTCAGTCTTCTTTTCTCAAGGTTAAACACACCCAGTTTTTTTTAACTTCTCCTCATAGGTCTTTTATCATTTTTACTGCTCTCATCTGGACCCTCTCCAATTTACTCATATAACTCCTAAAGTGTGGGAACCAGAACTGGACACAGTACTCCTGCTGAAGTCTCCAAGTTCTTCCTTAGGGGATATCTCCACACCCACACCAAAAAGATATGATTGTTGATAGTTAGGAATATGAAAGAAAAAGTAGGTCAGTAAATCAAATTTCTGCTAGAGTTTTGTCCCCAGATGCAGGGCAGAATCTTACCTAAGGAAAAAGTACTGGAGATGAAGAGGGCACAGGCAGCTTCTCATGTCCTCCAGAGCTCCCTGCCCAGAATACCCACTCAGGGCTCCCTAGAGCACTAAACAAGGTCCCATACAGCATGTCCACTGACTGATGGAGGTGGGGATATGGCTCTTCTGTACATAAACATCAGATGTCAGCAAGCACTTGAGGAGGAGTGGTTGACACTGCACCTCATGTAGACTAGACTCCAGATTATTCCATCATAAATCATGGTTTTCTCCATTTGGGAGTAGTTCAGCAACCTGACCTCAACATTGTAGATCTCTGGCACTTCATTGCAGGCCAGGTCATCATGCCAGCAAATGGCTTCCTTGCTGCTCTAACTGGCTCTCTGACAACATGCCTCCAGTACAGCTCTGCTGCTGGAATTTATACCACTGGTGGACCTCTGTGAAGGACACTGGGAGAAGTGAAAAATATGCCCAGATCAACAGAAATAATTCTCCATTCAAAATTATGTTTAGCTTGACTATTTTAAATTATTACACTTTTGGTAAAACAGCTCTTTTTATGGATAATTAGGCCATATTCAGCCCTGTGAGTTTGCCTTTACACTATTATTTGTATTGGGGCCCTGTGATGGGGAGATAGCCCCATCCCTAGGTTAGTGGAAAGAGTTCATCCTTTTGGCCTAGGAAGGGCCACAGGTGGGTGCAATCAGTGCAGATACTCAGGAGGGAGCATGTGACTATGGAACATGTGACTGCCTGAGAGGACTGTATAAAGCCACACTTTAGGCTACCCTGAGGCAAGATAGGGTCTGGAATGACCTTGGGGTTTTGGTTACCGTGGAGACTGGCAGGAGGACAGGTGTCTTGGGAAAGAGCGGTGGCTAAGGGTCTGGGGTGAGCTTAGTAGACTGTAGTGAGCTGGGGCAGGAGTGAAGGAGGTGGGTAACAAGATAGGGGAAAACCTGATACAAGGGAGACCATGATCCCCTGGAGAAGGGCTAGAAAGAGCTATTGAGCCTAGAGCAGGACAAAAGGGACTTGAGGAATCTGGAGCCAAGCATGAGGAGTTGAGTACACTTCTGTTTCATAACAGTGGAGGGAAAACTTTGTTGTGAAATGCAACATTGTGTTTCCAGCTTCATGGAGCTGGGCCGAGAAAAAAAGAGAAACTGAGGCATGGCACCAAACCTGGAGGGGGAATTATGGCGATCTACTTACAGGCCCCAAGTGAAGTGGTGGGGGAGCACTGTGCAGGGTCCTTCATGAACACTTAGTAAGAGAAATCTCCTGCCCCAAAGAGCTTACAATCTAAACACACAAGAGAGACAAAAGGGGAGGAAGGGGATAACACTTCCTTTTTACAGATAAGGAACTGACATGGAGAGAGATTGAAGGCTTCCCTACATGAACAATTAGACTGCAGCAAGCTGGGGCATGAATCTATTCCACGCTAACTGTTCGTGTGCAACCTGTTGATGCATGTTAACGTTTTGTTAATGTGCTTTCATCGAGTACCCTTTCAGAGAGGACTAGATCATGGCATTTGAACAAATTGTTAATATGCATCAGCATGGTGTACATGGACAGTTAGACCATGACAGGCTAGTGGAGAGCAGATTCACACCAGCTTGACATTGTACAATTGCTCATGTAAACAAGCCTGAAATGACTTGTCCAAGGTGGCACAGAAATTTTGTAGCAGAGCTGGGAGTTCGACTCAGGAGAGCTGAGTTCCGTCCCTGTGCCTTCCTCCCAGGCCCATCCTTCCCTCTTTATAGCTCACTTCTTGCATTTTTTCTTTTTTCAAACACACAATGTATACTTATTTGGGATATGTACAATTTCTTTTGGCTTTAGAAAAATGGTAAGAAATGAATCATATATAATCTATGATATCCAGTTCTCTGTTATCATACCAAGCTGCATAAAACACAATGAAATACAGTGAGACTTCATATACTATGTAGAATCAAAAAAGGAAAGCCTCTTTTCTTCCCAGAGGTGCATATTCCCATGCTAATTTAACTCAATCCAATTGTTTTAAATTATGGAATGCTACAATTACTCCTATTTAGAAATTTCTGTGTACATATATTTGCTTTAGTTTTTCACTTTTAGGTGGGAATGAAAAGGAGTTTTTTGTTTGTTTGTTTTATTGCTTTCCCAAAGACTGAAAAGGAAAAGGGTATTTTTTTTTTTTTTTTTTTTTACTTTAAGTTTGGAGCAAACTTAAGTTTGGTTTAAGGAGCATTGTTAAATTTTGAAGGATGTTTCATGCAGTTTGAAACTTTTTGGATGAAAGTGTTTTTGCAATTTTTAACATAGGGATTTGCAAAGAAAAATAGCTCCAGACATGTATTTTGTGTTGTGGAACAGAACTGAACTGGGTGATAGAATACAGAAAACCAGAGCAAAATCCACCCCTCAGGAAGGTGCTATGTGTAAGGCACTCTATCCACCACTTAGCAAGCAGATAACTGCTGGAGTAGAAAACAAGATCTGAGACCAAAAACATAAAGATCTTTATTAATCAAAATGAACATCTAGAATTGTACCTGGAACTGAATTGGAAGCCAATGCAACTTGTGAAGCACAGATGTAAAGGATCTAGGTTAGGGTTTGCTGTAGCACGCCCTCATCATAG